TGGGTGTTGTTTCTTTCTGTCCCTTTACTTGGTCCCTTTTTCAGAGTAGAAAAAATAGGACAGCAATCTGAATTAGTCATGAGTTTACTAAATGTCATGCTTCAGCACTGCAGCTCTCAGAACTTTCGGGTGAGCAAAAGTAGATAGAAAGTCTCTAAAGTTTGCTCAGATGGTGGAAGGCTAGGAAACATTATACCACAAGAACATCAAGGCAAATCACTTTCCTAGAATGTAAATTTGTGTAATACTGGCAAGTTTGTCCTTTGGTTAAACACTTTTCACACTTTGGAAAGCATGTTGGTTGATTTCATTTTCATCTGCTGAATAGGAAGCGGTCACAGGATACATTTGTAGAACAGATAACAGAGGGATTTTTTGACTTGCTGACTCCAGTTCTCTGCCCCTATGAGAAATCATATCACATAATCTTCTTTAGTAATTTATTTATATTTATTCGTCCATTTTTCCCAATTAATTCCACATGAGAAAAGAAAACTAAGATAATGTCAATACCTTGCTTTCTTCTCTTCTGGGGTTGTTACTCACAATTGAGTTTCCTGTTAAAATACAAGTTCAAGTTTGGGGTTTTTAACTTATAGTCCAAATTGCTAGCATCATGTAGGCTGCTGCAAATATTGGGCAATCTCCAAGATATAAAGCAGTGAGAGAGGAAGTTCCTTTCTTTCTGTTAGGCTCAAAGATCTCATCTTTGCCCCCTCACTCTTTCACCACCTTGTGTCCCCAGGAATGACACCCATTACTGTGTTGTGCAGCTACACCCCTGCAAGCTCCATCATGCCAACTCTCAGCACCATACTCCCTAACAATCCCTTGGCTGTGGGAATACAGTACCAAGATGCTAAAACTGTCTTTTTCCCATGTGACTCACCACTATTGCTTCCAGCATGGCCCACTGCCCTGGACTGATTTTGACATGTATAATTTTTGAGATATATAAACCCAGATCGAAAATTTTTTTTTTTCCTGTTTGGCTTTAACTAATGCAGAAATGCAGTAACATGAAATATATTTTGCTGTGTAGCCTCTCTTAATTCACTCCCCCTTGCTTTTCAACACACACATAAATACACTCAGTCTTCAATATCACAAATACCATATAAAAGATCAGAGTTCTGAATTGAATATTGGATCTAAAAACATTGCATATGTTCCAGTAAACACAAAGTATATTCACATACTGCACAATGAACTGTCTTCCCAATCAGGTAACAGTACGTAATTAGCAATGAAGAATCTTCTTTTTATGTTATGTCCTTAGGATTTCACACCTCTCAAAAAATATTGAATCTCTGAAATTCTCATGTAATTCCTACCCATGATTCTTTCTTTGAAAAATCTTGGAAGAAATTGTTAACAACTAATACACTCCTGGAAACTAATATCTTTTCTAACATGGTGATGTTACTGCAGCCGTGCTCCTTTTCATTCGCAACAGGTATATCACATTGAAAGTTGTATTCTGATAGAGTCAGCATGTGGCAGTAGGCTATTTAACCTGTAGCAGGTAAAATGAAGAAATTTGCTGTCTGAACTTGAAGTGAATCATTAAAGGCAGCAAATTCAAGCTGTGGTTTTTCTGTCTTTTGTCACATTATGGTCAGCATACAGCATTGATAGTTTGATGGTAGACAGGAAAATTTTTCATCACTGGTCAAAGAAAAAATATTCCTGAGTTTTTCTTCATGCATCCGGAGAGCTGTAAAACTAACCAAGGACAAATATGAGGCTGCTGAAATATGAAACAATTAAAGGAAATCCCAGTCTAAATCATAATCTCCAGATGGAAAGTGCAAGGAGAAAAAAAAAAGAAAAGGTTTCACTGGATGCTCAGTATAGTCTTTTTAATTTTCTAGGTTTTTTCAGTGAACTCAGCTTACATCTGAAATAAAAAGATTTTGTGGGCTAATGCAGGAGAATTCAGCATTCAAACCTATGTTTCTTCAGGAACTGCAGTAACAGTAAGCAACTGAATTTTCATCAAATTGTTATAAAATTCTGACATGGTATTCCTTTTTCATTCCAATTACAGTGGTATGGCCCTTCTCTCTGACAGTGATTGACAATAGTAAGGATCTGGGTTCGATTTGTAGGACTTGGTGATCATTTCAAGCATCATTCCTTTGAGCCCTGGCCAGCTGAAAAATGTTTTCAGCTAAATCAATCTCTATGCACTCAGGAAATTAACTCTATGGATCACTCCACTCTAAGTGTTTTGTTAAACAGAAAATATTTAGCCAATCAGGGCTCTACCAGGAGGGCAAAGAAAAATAGAAGAATCCTAATATATCAATGGAGACAGCATAAATGCCTCAGAGAAAGCAGCTGTCCCCCTCAGAGCAGCCTGGCAATGGTGCTAATTCCTTCCCCCATGGCTACACATGTCCAAAGAAGCAGGTGACTATTCACCTGCCAACACTACTTTGTGTACCTACTATTTGGTTGCCCACGTTTTTTCCTATACACGATGGTACCCATAACGTTTATTTTCCCTGAAAGTTCTGCCCTTTCTTCAGGGTTAGGGCTAGCACTGCTGTAAATTTAAAGCACCTCCTCTAGTTAAATCAGCACACTCAAAACCTTTAAGGAAAGAATCCATTTCCTCTTTTCAAGAAGTAAAAGACTGCTCACTTCATTGGAATTGGACTCACATCAGCACCATATTTGACAACTCATCATCTACATACCCCTATCTCCCATCAGTCAGAAGTGACAGTGGGTTATAACTGGCAGTATAATAAATGATGATGAGCATTTTTTCCATGAGGGTACCTTGAATTATGATGATTTTATTTTCAGGAAAAGATACTTCTTAACAGAGAAAAATGAAAGAGCTAATGGAGTTACCATGAAAATATATTCCTACAATACTCAGAAATAAAATACCCCCCCCCCAAAAATTAGTCTAATACTTAAAATAATAAATTAAGAAGAGTTTATGATTTATCTACCCACTTTAGCTTTTTGATGAAGAAGATTCCACAGGTTGTTCAGAGAAGCTGTGATGCCCCAGCCCTGGAAGTGTTCCAGGCCTGGCTGGATTTGACTTTGAGCTACCTGGTCTAGTGGAAGGTTCCAACCCTGCTGTGGCAGAGGAATTGGAACTAGATGATCTTTAAAGTCCCTTCAAGCCCAAACCATTCTGTGATTCTGTCTCAGGATTTGATATGCGGTACCCATTTTACTTAAGTTCTGCTACACAAACTTGCAATTCTTCCTTTTTCTTGAAAGAGTAAAAGGGGACAGTTTGAAACTAGTCTAAGAAGCCTTCTTCTTAGCAATTCATTGTAAACCCACATCATCTTGATTCACTTAAAACTTTGTTTGCTGCAACTTGCTGATAGGCATTACAGGTGTATGGCCCAAGTAAGACTTCTGGTGGTCCAGCTTCTCTGATTTGCTGCTGACAGTTGCCTACATCATTGAAAATGAGAGAACTCCGATCTTGGAATACCCTGTCCAGATAGGAACTGTCATATTTCTCAGTGCTGCTGACTTCCTCACAGAGCATTAAGGTTCATATTTCATACACTTGATTGTATGTAAGATGCAATTATGTGAAAAAGTGTTCGTGTCTGAACTCAGATGCTTTTCATATCGATTAAGGTCAGTTTTTAATTCTTTTTCACAATGTTCATCTCAGTAGATGCATTCAGTAAATTAAAATCACTTAATTTCCTCATTTTATAGTTCACAATAATTCAGTTTTACTGCCTTCTCATATACTCTTCGAGCACAAATCTAACCCTAGTCATATAATTATTTAATTTGCGTATTTTTATTATCTCCTCTGGTGTCTGTGTCTCAGCCAAACTAAATAATCCCAGCATTTCTTATCAAGTTTTGTCTTGTTCACAGACATCTGCAAATCAGGTCTTTCTCATGTAAGTGTTTAACTCAGTATTTAGATTTGTAATTTTTAAGCACCACCTTTGAAAGCCATCAGTCTTTTCTCAGCCATCAGGGTATCTTTATTCAGTATTTTTTAAAGTCTGTTTTGTGCAAAAAAGTCCCAAACAAAACAAAAGAAAACAAAACAAAACAAAGCAAAATCCAACGTTAAAATTATGCCACATCCAAATCCCAAGATTGACATATTCCTAAATTTAGGGAATTCTAGATATTCATTGTGAAAAATAAATGTAGCTAATTCCATTTTGTGGGAGTTTTTTATAAAGGGCAAGACAACTCTTCAGAGAAGAGAGGTAAATTCACAGCAGAATGTTTATGGACATCCATTATCGGAAATATATTTAAGAGGAAAATAGTTAAAACTCAGTTCTAAAGAATTTATCACATATATTTTATTGATCCCCATACATTCTCCATTATTTCTTGCTCTGTGTCATTAAATATCTTAGCTATTTTCTTTTGTAGGGGTGCTATTATTGCTGTATGTTATATATAGCAGCAGTACCTACAATTCCATCAGGGAATTAACACTGCATTATATTAAACCTGTCCAAACAAGTAGCTCAAAGGCTGTTTGTGTTCCAGGGAACTCATATTTTAGAATGGGGTGTGGAAAGGAAAAAAAAATTACAGTTAATGCTGTCAGGCCCAGCTAGTTCCTCTAAACAGCTGAGGAAAAATGGTGAATACTTAACAATCCTTACACCCTAAATTAATATCCTAATGAATTGGTGTATATTAAAAGCCTCTTGATACACTTCTTTCTTATTGAGAATTCCTATCAAATACAAATGCTTTTGGATGGTTAAGGAAGGTCTTAAACATAGAAAATCCTAAAAGGAAAGAGAAAGGAATTTTCATCTGTCTCTGGACCTTTTGGGGTTGAAAAAGTTTCAGAGAAGGAGGTGATTTGGTATTGTTCTGAGTCAGTTTGCTCTGACTGAGGAAATGACGAGAAGGAAACTACTTCCCCGTCTCGGGAACCATGTGGTGTTCCAAGATAAGGCGAGCACTTGCTAATTCAAGTCCACAAGCAGGAAATGTGATACATCCATTTCCTTTCAGGCAAACAACACTGTTCCGTGACAGCACAAAAGCTTTGCTTCTAGTGCAAAATCTCAAACCTTCAGAAAACTATTGCTCCTCTGTGGACATACCATTCTGTATTTGCTATTTGGATGTTATGGATAGAAACAGTACAAACCCTCCAAATGATAACACATTGCCATCAAAATTTTGGGGTAAGGATGTTTTTTTTCTAGAATATTGTTAAAGTAGATGCTGATATTTGTTGGTGATTGCCGTAAAAATACCTCTAGATACTTTCAAGCCTCATGTTGGATGCAAAAAGTAATGAATAGGTTTTGTATGTCTTGCAGTGAAAAGATTGTTTTCCAAATGTTCTTCGACAAAGTTTTATCATGTCTTTAAACTAATCAACACAGCAGGAGGTGCCAGGGCAGAATTGATTGTTTCACAAAGTTCATTACTGAAGTCAGTGGAAAAGGTGTCTATTGACTTTAGCATGTTTCAGATCAGGTAGACATTTTCAACCGTTTAATGGATGTACCTACACAGCAGACATGATCTGTTTCATCTTCTAATGAAAAAGAGATAACAAAAACTAAACCTGTTGCAATCTTTGGAATAAAGCCTTATTCCTCCAAAATAAAAAGTTATTTGTAGTGCCTCATGATCGGGTTTTCCTTATTTTTTCCTCAATGTATATTTTGATTGCTATTTATTATGACTGTTTTCTTTCACCCAAATCTGGGAATGGTTCATTTACTGAAATATATAGCGTGAGGTGGAAATATATGTTATATTGGCATTCATTCAAGGTAATTAGAGCAATTGATTTGATCCTAAAGCATACTCTGCATCTGCTCTGGAAAATGTTTCCCTCCAACAAGCTCTATTGCTTGCTATATTTAACATTAACATGTATTAGCAATTAACATTAGAGTGAATCATATGATCCAGTTTTGTCTATTATATTATTGCTATTGACAATGAGCCCTCCAAGAATCTGAGAATTATTTAAAACTGAAAATAATATGCATTATCAAAAAAGGACTTTGGTTGCACAGAAGTGCCCCAGGAAAAGATTGGGAAAAAATACAAGAGGATGGAAAGAGGTTCTTCTTTTTTTTTTTTTTCTTAGCATAAGGAACAAGAATCTGCTGAGTGCCATTTTTGCTTCCTGCAGTGACACATATATTTTCCTTCTGAGAGACCATGAGTAACTCATTTAATTTTTGTGTCTTGGGCTAAAGAGTAGGGTAATGATACTTGACATCTTTGATAAATACTTACAGATTAACTGAGGAAAAATTACAGTTATTACTGTTTCAGAATCTCTTATTGTCTGGAGGTTGTCTGCTGGACTCTGAAGAAGAGTAATCAATTTTGTAGAGTAGAGACAGAAGTAATTCTAAAATGGCTCTTTCAGAATAAAAATTTGCTGCATTTGACAACACTGAGCAGGACATATAAGAACAGTCTTATTGCTGAAAGGGCCAGCACCTCCTTTCATTATCATTGCCCATCTGGCTTGCCAGGAACTGACACTGTACCCAGCCCTGATCACACCTTTTTTGCTCGGACAGCAGATGAACCTCAGAGCCTAGGTTTTTGTGAGGAGCTTTCATGATCCTGTGAAGGGAAGATGCCTCTTAGATTTTTCTTATTTTTCTGATAGATTTTAGAAGAGTGAAGAGCCTTTCCTCTTCCTTTCCTGTAGGTATATCATATATGGCAGACTAGGAAGGGCCACTGTATAGCCTCTGTCAGAGGACGGTGAAGGCAACTGACACATGCTCACTGTATGGAGACTTCACCTAAAATTATAGAAATGTGTTTTCTGACATCCTGGAAATACATGAGTTGAGGTAAAAATAAAACTACACGTAACAGATATAAATAAAATGTGGCTCTTTATTAAATGAGAATACAGTACTTGAAACAGTGATTTTTTTAGGACATGGCTTACAGGCTATTTTCTAGGCCACCCACCAAGTAGTGCTGTGAATGCTACTACCTTACCAAGATGCAGATGTGTGACTTCTCAGCGTCTTCTAAGGACTCAGACGAAGTGTAAACTCCAACATGTGTGCAAAGGTTTGCTAAGTGGGATTAAGATTGTGAGAAAAAAAATCAGCGCTTTAAAAACAGACAAAGCAACCATTTAAAATGATATTTAACCTCTTATATTTTTATAAATCATCTATTGTCCAACAATTAATTCCCTGTGCTGGAAAATATACAGGCATCCTGTTTTCTAAAGCTGTCTAGTTTCCAGTGGTATCTTTACACAATAGCATCTTAAAAGTGACTTTATGAATTTTAGAACAATGAACAAACTAAACTGTCCTCTGCCTATTTATGTGTGACCACATATAAATCTTTTTACAATTGTTCCAGGCTAGTGGAAGTGTGCATGAATAAAACTGCGTAGATAAAACCAAGATATAAACACCTCTGTATAAGTCATTCTGTGTGAGTTGTCTAAGTAGTATAGACAATATATACTCATGCAGAGACCTTAACAAATGATGATATTAAAAAAAAAATTAGTACACTTTTTTTTTTTTTTTACAAGCTCTGTATGCAATCAGTGACAGACTGGAGAGTCAATAACATGCATAGCTGTAGATCTTAGAGGAATTCTTCTTTGAATTCAGACATCACCATCATCAATCTTTAGTATTTTTGGAATGCTAAATTATACAGTGGAGGAAAACAGAAGCAAAAGAATAGTTTTCCTGGCCTATAATCAATTCTGCTTGGAAAAAAAAAATTAAACTTCTCTTCTGATTTAAATTCATGAATTCTATGATAGAACTCCTGGCCCTGTCAGCGAATATCCTCTGTGTAATGTGTCATAAGCACAAAATTGGGATACTGATTCTCATTTTGCTAGAGCTGTTCCCTACTACAAAGATGTTGTGTGAAGTCTTTGTAGATATACAAGCCTGTTTCAGATAAGTTGTCTGAGCTACGGCAAGGTTGCAGGAGTTAATTTCTTTCAGGTGTCAGCTTTTGTGAAGCTATGTAAGTTGCTGGTCACCCTCCTTCCCGTGGGAATCCATAGAATGGTACTTTGGGAGAGGCAGGAAGAGAAGCACTTAAAGCAAGTGTCTTCTGAACTTCATCACTGTTGATATCACATGGAACTGTAGACACAGAGTCTGGATTATAATTTTTATTGCTAGTTTCAAAATGAGTTTTAACAATAGCTGAGTGAGAAATTACAGTTTGATACCCATTCATCAACTCATAATCTCACTTTTTACTGTTTTAATATAGTCTTTATTGAGTTCTTTTTGATTTATAAGGTAACAGTAGGAGCAAAGATGTTTCCATTTAAACCCAGAGTGCATTTCTTGTACTTCCTAAAAGCATTTTCAGTTGCACACAAGTAAATACAGTAAATGTCTTCAAGACAATCCTGTTTTTTCAGTGTAAATATTAATATAATTTCAGATCAGGAAATTCAATTTAAATGGTAAATTTGATCAATATGGCAGCAGCAGAGAGAAAAAGTATAAGAAGATTTTAATCAACACAAATTTAGATCCCCAGACTATCCTTCAGCCTATTTTTACTTAGGTACCTATTTAAAAATGCAACATTAGAATTTAATACCTTAAAAATATTGAGAACATTTTTTCTTTTCTTGAATCAGAATCCAGGGTGTTATTTGTTTGGTATAAAGAGATAATGCCATATATCAGCTGTCTTCCAGCATTTTAAGATTGCAAACTGGTTGGCACATACTATGAGCATTATCATTTGGATTTATAAGCTACAAAGGCACCCATGATTTTATATATGTCAAATTTTGCCTTGTCCCTCCCTCAGCCCACTGGTCTTCTCCTCATTAAAATGTGTCTGTTTGAAAGAAGTCAGACTGCATACTCTCCTGGAAATTATGGTCATTATGGATGACCACATTCTAATGTCCGATGCTGTGTTGCTGGTGTAGCAATAATCATGGTTAAGGACTTTTTGTCATTCTCTTTATGAATTGGAATAATACTTGTAAAGGACAGCACTGATGCAATCAGTAATACAGCTGTCAGACACTGAAAAGCCCAACCTAGGCAGCCATGGGACCAGATTTCTCTTCTGGGATCCTTCATGGGTGGCAGTCATGAAAGAGCAGAAGCACAAGCAACAGATCCAGTCAGGTTCCTTGTAAGTGAGAAAAGTAGCATTTGTGCTGGCCTGTGTGGTGACCAGGTTAAGCCTGTTGTCTGATGTCTGTGTCAGCACATCTCCAGTATACACACTGTGTGGTCTCTCCTCATTCCCTTTGCTCCAGTTCATACGCTTTTTACCCTTTTCATTCAGACTTTAGCAGCAACAAATAAAGACTCGAGAAGCTGCCTCAGCTGTCCTGCTGCAAATGAGGACACAGAAGGACTACAATTTGGAGCCAGCTGTGGAGCACTTGACAGCAGATGTGGCAGTGGTAGCTTCTACCAGGCCACTGCTCTTCATAGAAGTTTGATGACTGGAAAAGATCAGTGTCTTCATACCTGAGTTCCCTAGAGGGCCTTTAACCTGGTAGACCTGGCATTGCTAATAGCTCAGAGGACTTCATTAAGCTGAAGGTGCAATTGCTTTGCTGGCAGAAAGGAGGAAGTGAAGGTGTGACATCAAAACACTTATAGATGCTTTATACCACTGGAGATTTTTTCTTAGCAGAGAAAACCTTCAAGGTTGAAGTGGAAAAAAGAGGGAGGAAAACACAACAAAATTAGAGTTTTGGATTGAGGTGATCCATCAACCCCATGGCTGTATTTCCTGAGTTACTATTTTTCTTCTCTTCTATTACATTTTCTCTCTTTTCAAATGTTCACCCTTGTGTGCGTATTATTCATAGTATTTTAATTCATGACAAGGAAACAAAAAATTAGAGGAAGGTGGTTGCAGACACTGCATCACTGCAGACACTGGAGTTCTTACTTGCAGTTGGTCTTTTTATTTTTGTCAATTCTCTGTTATTTGGAAAGCCCCAGTGATTTTAAAAGTGAAATACTTGGCAGCATATCACACATCATAAGGAGCTTATAGCACAAGGAATAAATGTCTTTGCCTTTCTGCAGAGTCTTTGGGTTAGATCACTGATACTTGCAAATAATCTCATAATCTGAAGGTCGTGAGTTCGTTCCTCATATGGGGCAAAGGCAGGCAGATCTTTGCCTGGTGGATGAGGGAAAGGCTGTGGAAGTGT